ACTTTATGTAAAATCTCAATTAAATATTCAATAAAGATAGAGGCATGGCCTCATCATTAATATTAAAAAAAAAAAAACTTTATTAACTTATACAATATACAGCTTACTTTTTACAAAGTTACTATATACCAAGATGACCTATTTAATAATCTTGTTAACCAGCTTACTTGTAGTCATTAAATACTATTCTTTTTAATATTTTTTATATAACAACCTTTACAACTTTGCATATTCTCTATTTATTGATCAATTTCTTATTAAGATTCCTATTCAATATTTTATTTATACTATTTGTCAAGCTTATATTATAATACTTTGAACATCTCAACATCATTTTCTATAATGGTCTACTATTGCATCCAATATTAACTAGAAAACCACTTGGCTTTATATTAATAATAATCAAAAGGTTTTTAAGTTTGCTCATAGCTTTTATTCCTCTACTTTAAAAATCTTTTATATTAAAATTTTCTTGGATGAACTACCTATTTCTCATACTCATTATAAACACAACTCTTATTACTCTTCTCTCTGTCATTAATACAATTAAACTAGTTTTTTATTACACTGAACTTTTTGTCTTTTCATTAAAACAATTTAATACTTAATCTCTAATTCTCTTAACTGCATCTTAAAGTTACTACTCTCAATATGTTCACTAATTATATTTCTAATTTATATTAAGAAATTCGTATACTTAGCAGTTTTAAACTGCATAACTTTTCTCATATATTATCTTTTATTTCTATTTTATCTGGCTTAGTTCTTACTGATCTTATTTCTATTATTTATAATACTTCTATTTCTTATCATATAACTATTCTCTTTCTATTAATTTCTTCTTTATTTAAACCAGCAAATATATAAACAAATATAGATTCCATATTGTATTTCATGTTCTATACAGTCTTCAATTACATCTTATACAAACTTAACTCATAACTTTCTTTCTAGTCTACTATTAGCTCCTATCTTAATACTACAAATTATTACTAAAATTGTTCTTTGAACTATTCAATAGATTAAATATTATATTTTACTTTTATATATTATTACTTATATTCAAATCTATATGAGTCTTGGACACTCTTGTAGGTTTAAGTTGCAGATTATATATCTAAGTTTTTATTCTTTATATGTAATTTAAAATTAAGCTTTTCTTTATAAAAACTTTAATTAAATTTTAATAAAATTAAAAGTAGGCCTCATTGTTAATATTAAAAAAAAATAAAAAATTAAAGTTGTAAAGCTTGTTTTTCTGATTCTAATAATAATTAAATCATCAAAATTGGTCTAGTAGATCTCAAGATATTGGAATCAAAGATAAGAGCAAAATATCTACAAATTGATAGTTACACAATATTCTATTAACAACAATACTTTGTATAACTGACAATTTGTAAATCTTTTTGTTCTTTTCTTTAATCTCCAATATCTTAGAATCTACTAGGCTAATTTTGATGATTTAATTATTATTAGAATCAAAAAACAAGCTTTATAACTTTAATTAAAAGTTCAAAAAACTTTTATACAATAAAAACTTCTTTAATTTTTAAAAAATATATTTTTTAAAATTTAATTAGCTAATTAAAAATAAAATATTTTAAATATATTATAGTAGAAATAACAAAAATCTATAATGATAATAGGCCATTTCTTTATATATTGCAAATCATAATATGAATATTCAGAAATAACAAGAACTTGGCTAATTTCTAAATTTAAATTTTAAGAAATTCTTTTAAAATATAAGTATTTAATATATTTATATTTAGAAAGAGTTATTAGTCAATAACTACATAATGTAATTAATAAATATATTTTCAAAGTTCTGTTTATATTATTATTTTTTTTGGTATTAAGGTGAGGCCTTACTTATATCTTTATTGGTAGTTTAAAAGTTAGTAGCTACATAGAGCTGCTATATATAAAAAATAATTTTCTATATAAATACTATAGCTAAAACTAATATTTGCAGTCAGGACTGAACTATTAAACTGCTAACTATATAGCTACTCTAAGTACAAATAAAAAAAAAATACATTCAAGAATAAAAGCTCAGATATATTTATCAGTAACCTAAACCTACTAGAATAGTCAAGACTCATTTAAATTTATAAATTTAGAATGTAGTTATAGAAAATATTGTATTTAATTCAAAAAATGGTCCAAATGTTGATTTTATGAATAGTATAGCCAATAGGTAGACAAATATTAGAATTTGAGTATAATTAGTTAGGTTGTCTATATAAACAAAAGTAAGTATAATTTTTATAATTAGAGTTTTTTTTGTTATTTTGATTTAATTGAAATAAAGATCTAATATAAAGTGATTTAAGTTCTTATTGTTATTTTCAGTTAGTAAAGTTTATACAATATAATTTCCATATTTATTTATAAAAAAGTTTATTAATTTTAAACAGAATAGCAATAATTATTTATAAGTCTAGTTTGTATGAAATATTAAAGTTTTGTATAATATTGATTAGAGATTTAGGAATAAGTCCTTTAAATATAATATCAAGATAGTGTTAATTTGTTTAAAGAGATATAAGGTAAAAGATATAGTAGTGACTGATTTTGTGAATAAGTTCTCCTTATTGATTTATAGATAAACCAAGATCTATATAGTTAATGTATTTGAATATGTTAATTTGAATAATATTGAATATAAGTGATGGATTTGAGTATGTATACAATGGGTTGAGGAGTCAACAAAATTACAGATAAAACAATTAGTATTATAAAATATATGTGAATAAGTTTTATAAAAATGAAAGTAAATAGAAAGTTCATTTAATAAGATTTTAATTTTGAATAATTTAAGATAGTTGAGTTCAAAGTTAGTAACATTATGAATTAGTTTTTGGTTATAATTAAAAAACAACTAAATTGATCTTTAGTTAATTTAGGAAACTAGAGTTTCCTATTCTATGTTATGTTTTTGAGATGATCATATTGCTAGAATATAGGCTCTACAGATATTTTTGATAAAGCTTCTGATTAGGTGTTTGATAAAATATTGATCTCAAAAAATTATATAATATAGATTGTAGATGATAAATTATATTGTTTTGCAAATAAGTCTGCTAAATTATTAAGAGTATTATCAGAATAGACTTGTATTTTGTAAAAGTTAATCTGATGGTTATAAGATTTGATAATATTAACAGAATGTGTCATATAGGCTATGAGCTAAATTTGAAAAACTTGTTAAGGTTTGAAAGAATAATATATATTTTTGAATATTTAGTAATTATAGATTGAGAATCAGTGAAGATATTGATTGTTGAATTACGAACAATAATTGAAACAGCTAAAAGAATTGATATTAGTTCAACTTTATAAGAAGATGATCAGAAATTGATTTTAGTTGAGAATTTGTGAATTATTTGATTGAAATCATTAACTTATACTCATCCAATACCTATTGTATATTGGTCTGTACTGATGTTAGTTACAGAATCATCAGTATAGAAATTAAATATATTTTGTGATGTATTGATAAGAAAATATTGTTCACTTATATGTGTAGTTTCTTCTTGTTTAAAAATTTCTGATAAAAGAAAGTTAGAAATATAGATAGTAGAGGAAGAAGGTAGAGATAACAGATGTTTAATTGCAGTTGGGTATGTGTCATTTCACTGACAATCAATTCACCAACAAGTTTATTTCACCAACAACTATTTCACTGACTAGGTTTTTTTTAAAGTTGCACTCTAATTCCAATTGACCCTAACGAAAATGATCAGAATTACTTTGTCGGTGAAATGACTGTCAGTGAAATAACTGTTGGTGAAATAAACTTGTCGGCGAATTGACTGTCGTTGAAATAGGCTGTCGTTGAAGTAATTGTCGGCGAAATGAGCACCACCCCTGTAAACCATACCCTCCGTTTTCACTCACGGAAAACTCCGTCCCTGGTACAAATAATCATTACGTATATCACTTAATTTTAATCATCACAACATTCCCATTAGAAATTTCGTTCGTATGACCCTGAATATACAAACAATTCTAAAAGCACTAATCTAAAAAATTTCACTGGCCAATCCAATCTCGAGATTAGGTGTAACTGAAAAATGTTCAAGAAACTAAACAATCCAAAAATCGACTGTAACTCGAAATTTTGTCTATGAAACTGCCTTCTGCGTATTAACAAAAAGGTTTCATTGCAAAATTTTGGTATAACCATAGCCCTCTAAATTTAACCTACTTGCAATACCCTAACCTAACCTAATAGCGAAATGCTTTTTCTTAGCGAAATTTTTTTCTTAATGTGCGAAATTCTTTAGACTGGTGATACTAGGTTCATAGAATGTAAATATATGATTTTAGTCGGAGAGCATAATGCCAGGCAGAATTAAGAACAGAACCACTTTAAAAAATCCCACTGCCAATCAAATTTCAAGACCAGGTATAACGTAACACAATCAAAACAAACATTCGTTTTGTCTTTTGCACATTAGTAAAAAATATTCCTAGCAAAGTTATGATACATATAATGCCTCCTAACTCAAACCTAGAGCAAGACCCAAACCTTAATTAAACAAACAAAATTTTTAATTCGAAATTTTTTAGGTCGGCGATTCTACTTTTATGAAAAATTCCGAAGAGAAAATAAAGACGAGCAAGTCAGACCGATAATTTCCGATTTAAAAAAATTCGGATTTTATTAAATTTATCATGTATACGTTCCATTTTTTACCCCCTCCCCCTCTTTTGAGAAATGATTGTAACGTAAACTAATGAATTAAGCGTTATACTTCTACATAGTTTTATTTTTTTTTCGAATTGTTATCATTTCTATTTGAAAAATAAATTTCTTCAAATATAATTCTTTTACTATATTTTTTCTTTGTATTCCTATAAGTTTCATAATTTTTTATAATTATAGGCCTGATTCCATTTAGAATTAATTCAATATTAGTAACCCATAATGGAAATAATTGCAAGTGAACTAAACGGAAAGTTCTTTTAGGTTTTTTAGATTTGTCATCTACTCCCTCCATAAATTTCCTTTCGTATTTAATTCTGCCTATAATCAAATAATAAATAATCAATAATAAATTTAAAAAATAAATAATATATCGAAATAGTTTAAACAAATTCCGATAAAAACTAGGATAATCATCATCATCATCATCATCATCATCATCATCATCAGTATCTTTATGTTTTAAACTATCATTATCAATCCCTTTACCATCAACATTAGTCTCTTTATGATCTAAACGTTCATAAACATTGACCTCTTTAGAATAAATTCTATGTTCTAAATTTTCAATAAAATCATATGATTTTGAAAGGATAATTAAACCAATCCAGATTGCTCCTAAATACATCAAAGAAAGTCTTAACATTCGTTCTGAATCCTTAGATAGATAGGTTTGATTGGGAACTTGAAAAACAAGCGATAAAAAAATTGATATTGCGAGAATAAAAAAAAAGAAAAAAACAGAAACTGCCGTATCGAAAATTCTTTCTCTAAACAAAATATCGTTTCTTCGCTTCAATTTAATTATATAAAAATCAAGCATTGTGAACATATTAAAGTCTTCTAGTTTTTTTGTTAGACTAAAAAAAGATTTCCCATTCAATAAGTTACCAAACTTCTTAATAACATTATCATCTATATGTAAATACATAGGTTTGAACGTATTCTCATCGAGTTCAGTTGAGCTACCTGCTTCAAGATACTTCTGTGCAGTATTGTTAAGATATGCAGTAACAATGGTTACTAACACACCAATTGCACCAAATACTGATGATAATTGAGTTCCAATTTTCGCCATTATATCTGAGTCTTCTGCCAATGCGAATAATTGACCAAGAAAAATAGAAATCAACGATATAAAAATCTCTGCAACGTACAAATTTTGACGAAATCTCATATTTTTTTGAAATGATTTATATTCTTCATTTAATTTCACAATAAAGAATTTAATTATTTGATGCTTAAGATTATCATCTATATCAGTGTTATTAGAGTTATCCGGTTTATCTTTTCCAGCTAATAATTTATATTTTTCATTTGATTCAATGATAAAATATTTAACTTCGTGAGTCTTAATAAAATCTCCTTCTTGAGGAGTCTTAATAAAATCTTCATTATGTTCAGAACTCATCTTGTTAAAATGATGTCCTTTTTTTCGAGTCTTTTTTTTTCTAGTCTTTTATAAATGTGACTGAATATGTTGTGTAACAAAAAACAAACAGTTTATTTGTAGAAATAATTTCTGAAACTTGAATTAAACTCTAAATATAGACTATCTATAATTGGGCGGCTAAAAGTATTATTTCTAGTTATATATATATTTGGTTAGTGATTATCAATTAATCTGCCAAGTAAAAAATCCAGCAAGGAAAGGTCGATGTAAGAATCTATGAATTAAAAATCATGAAAAAGTATGTCAATATACGTACGTACTTACATAAGATACACGACCCGGTGTGCAACATATAGAAAATTATTTTACAATACCCGCTAATACATGCTATGATTATAATCCCACACCATTTTCATTTATAATAAAATGTGTGGGATTATCATAACATGTATTAGTGGGTATTGTAAAATATTTTATTTTATATGTTGCACACCGGGTAAAGGGATTTACTTATTTGTGCCGGTAATAAATAAAGTGCGTAAAACACGTATTTAGGGTTGGAACTTTAACATTAGAGGCTATAGCGATAGACTATCGTTCATTCTATGTAAAATTTCGTTTTCGACATTTTTAATTAGTACACCAAGGCTGGTTTAAACACTAGTTTTTGAGTTTTTTGCTTTTTCTTCTTTTACACGCATTCGGAATTCATGTCGGGCTGATCCGCTGATCCGGAACGATCATAATTTGAATTCACTGATTGGCTATTTTCTTTTTAGGAGTTTGTATTACCGGCACAAATAAGTAAACCCCGGGTAAAGAATTAAACACTACAATTATGCCTTATAAGGACAAAATACAAACATTGAAATCGTGTGTATGTAAATACCTTTATTGAAGTCGATAATTTAAGAAATAATTGCGTGATAGTGAAAACATTTAATGATTTACTACAGTTTTTCACTCTCACACATTTAAATATGAATTTTATTGTGTTACATGATTATTTGCTTGGCATAAACTATAATCAAGGGTACCCTTATGTCATAGGCAGAAGTCCGTCTGATTGGCTAATAAAGTCAATTTAATTTTACATTATTTATACAGTTTAGAGTACTTTTTAAAAAAAAACGAAAACTAATCATAATGAAAAAAAAACCATATAGAAGGTTCATTAGAGCTTTAGGACTCCATAGTCAAAAATAAGATCTAATTCTCGTCCGTTTAAAAAAAGTAGCTTAGTAATAAGTTGATTTTATCGGGTACCCTTATGTCAAGCGAAAATCGGACCCTTCGGTCCACATACTTGGGTTGGAGTATCACAAGTATTCTATCTATATCTGATGTGAAAGAGTAAATGCTATACGTATATGCTGAACATTTTTAATTATTTAAGAAATTTTACTTTTTTTGCTGTTTTTCACTGTTTGTTTTGTTACACGAGATCCCGATATTTTATTGGTGCTGGACCAGAAATTTAAAGTCGGAGGTCAATTTTCGCTTGACACAAAAGTACCCGATTGTATCGGGTTTTAAGAAGTTATTACTATACTAGCTTTTTTAACCGAACGAGAATTAGATCTTATTTTTGGCAATGGAGTCCTATAGCTCTAATGAAACCATCTATATGGCGTTTTTATTATTATTATTATTATTATTATTAATTTTCATTTTTTAAAAAGTACTTTAAACTGTATAAATAATATAAAATTAAATTGAATTTATTAGCAATCAGAAAAACTTAGCCTATGAACCCTCATGTCTGCAAATCCCGATCCCTCCATATAACAAAACAAAGGCAAAAAACTAACCGTAGCTAACACAATATTTTGCTATAATAACCTGCTTTTAGCCTCTAAGTAAAAACTTTTAGAAAAATTTTTACTTATATGTCGTTATTTTATACAATAGGTAAATAAAAGTCATCTGTAATCAAATATTTACTTATCTAACTTTTGGTCAAAGGTCTGAATTTGCAGGGTATAAGCGTACTCCATCACGGCGTATTTGTGAAATTAAAGCATTTAGACTCACTACGAAGTACGTCATTTACTATGCTATTTGACATTTCTTATTGTGAAACCATATAGATAACATCTAACCCAATTTCCCGTGAAAAAGATGGGTTAGATGTTATCTATATGATTTTACAATAAGAAATGTCAAATAAATTTCATAAATTCGCCACAATGCATAATCAAGTTACAGATCAAAAATAAATGATAGATTTCAATAAATTTAAGTATTGTTTTTATTGTCTCTATAAGGCGTTATTGTGATTTTTAGTTTATATCCCTTGAGAATAATATACATGCATGTACGTATCGCATGTGGAGTTTTATTACACGAAAATACATATTTATCCGGAAAACCCTTGTTGTTATATGATCATAAATATATTTCTGCAGGTTATTTTTTCATGTGGTACGATGCAAATAAAACTCGGCCGACAAATCCCTACCAATCATGACCATAAATTGCCAGATAACACCATTATTGAGCAGATTTGCGAATACGGTATTTTAGCAAATGATTAACTGCACGTGCCGCATAACGGACGTGTCCATTTGCCAAATTGCACAATAACGATAATGTGGAGTACACCTTCCTAAATCGAAATGGTCTGTACAGATTGGCCAATTAGATTATCAATTTGATTTTAGATTTCTTTCGTCGTTATATAATACAGTGCAGAAATTAGAACTACAATAAGATCTAAGCGAAAAGCTAAATTTGTCATTCTCAATAGTGGTTTATTTAAGTTTCAGTGTGTGTACACTTCTAAGCCATATTTCATTATTTCTATCCAGATTAATGAGGTTAAACGTGTTACTACTTTGTGCATTTATTTTGCAAACAAGAGCATTTAAATGTGAACAATGTATACATATCTATGTGAGAAATCGAAGAATTTGGAAATCTAGTAAAAATTAAAATTTCGATTAGAGCAAATCTTGAAACTCCAGAAATCCGAGAGATATAGTGAATTTCCATGATATCTGATATAGACCACCATTTACAGAAGAGATGCACAATTTAGTACCTACATTGAAAATAAAAAATTTTCCTAAACTATCAACCTCAATAAGATACAAAAAACAATATACGTAGAAGCTAAATTTCTATAGCCCTTACAGTAAATTACCAGAATGATCTATTTTAATAACGAGGATGACCGCATAATATATTGGGTTGGTTGTCCTACAAATTCACCTTATTATAGGATTCTATTGAGATATGCACAAAATTATTTTGACAATAAGAAATTAAAGAAATTAAAGTTATACTTAATTAAGTCAGGATTTTCAGAGGCTAGAGTTACAATCATTGAGTTTATACGTATAGTTGCTATTATGTGCTATGTATTCATTTAGGCATTGCTCATACATATTAGAACTAACATCTATTTTTGTCATTCTATATAACAAAGCTAATATGATAGTTTATTATCATCATTTGTATTTTTTTCCTTTGAAGTTATACATAATGATATTTTTAGTAATGTAGTTGATTATTATCATATTCAATAGCTGAGATTAGGAATGGAAATCAAACCCGGTTTAGGTCTTTACTAGATTCAACAATTGTTTAATTGTGTCGTAAGTGCATTATGCAGTGGCAATCATAAATACTACAACAAATTTTTTTTTTAGTTAGATTGTACTATCTACATGCAATTCTGGGCGTTTCTGTTAGTTTTTTATTTTATTCGCAAATAATTTCATACGTAGAATTTTAACGAAACACATGTTGCATTATTTTTGACCGTTTTTGACAAATGTTAGAACTGATTGACAATCAAAACAAAAAAAACAAAAGAACCGTACGACTTTCACCCAACGAGCCCAAATATTACTTTCGTTTCAAAAAGGGTGCGGTGGGTTGGGCCCGCAATATCAATTGTTTCACAATCTCGCGCATTAATAAAAAGTTGTTAGTAAATTGCTCACTTAAAAATTTAGGAAGGGCTGGTCGCCCACTTTTGTTGGTGAACTAACCCAAAGAAGAATGGTGAATCTTTGTTACCTGCTCCACCGCCGTCGAAGTGAGGACCACCTCAAAAAGCATAGTCCGCTTTCATGGTGATTGGATAATTTTTGTAGACCATCCTGTGATATCGTAAAAATTTCATTGGTTAATCGACATTTTAAACTTTGTCATGGATAAAGAATTATATTTGTGACGAAATTGATACCAGCAAAAATTTTTTCAATTAGGTCTCAATAACTTTAAACCAAACTGTAATCTTACTGCAGACAAAATTCTGGCAATTCAAATTTTAATAAAAAAAAAAAAAAATTCAAATCAAAAAAAAAACAAAACGAACCAAAAACCAATCAAATGTTTGAACTTTATCTAGAGACTAATAACTAATAAAGAAATAATCCGAAATAACTTTTAGTGCTTATTCCTATATCAAACTAATCTTTATTTTTATTTAATAATTATTAAATAGTTACAGTGCCATTATTTCATTTTAACACTTCTTACGAATTCTATAAACCTAATATGTAACTCTCTACTTTATGTTAACCTACATTATCTTAGTAGGATTCTTTGTTAGGGTTTTTTATTGGTTATGAAGAATGAATAAAGACAACTTAAATTGCCAAGTTAACGATTTATTGTCCTATAGCTAAACTTAAATATCTTCTAGCTTCGCAGTTAGTAATTGGATCCGTTCAGAAAAGTGCCACCCGGTTGGTAAAAAAAGAATTTATTACAGGTCACCCGCGGGTGAGTCATCCGGTGGTAAAAGAATTTTTTTTATAGACCACCCACAAGTAAGTCATCTTGATTACTGGGTATAAAAGACAATAAGATATAAATCAAATTTTTAGGTAACTTAAGTATTTATTATAGTTGTGCTGAAGTCCATTTTTCTGAAATAACATTTCATTAAAGTCATAATACCGACAATCCATTTTACTAACAGGACAGAAATATGTCAGTGTCATTTCACCTAATATCAATTAACCGATAAGTTTTTTCACTGACAATTCTTTCACCAACAAAATAATTCTGAGCATTGTCGTTAGGGTCGGGTTTAGGATTAGAGTCAAGGTTAGTGCAATTTTTAAACAAACCAATCAGTGAAATAATCTGTCAGTGAAATAATTGTCGGTGAAGTAAACTTATCTGTTAATTGATTTTTGATGTAATGACACAGACCTATTTCTGTCTTGCTAGTAAAATGGTATTTCAAAAAAATAGATTTCGGGAAGTTAAATCAGAACCGATTTACAAACCCGAAATTCCCAATAACTTGCTAGTATTTTATGCTCTACTATTCGGAATTTTTCCAATAGTAAAATTTACATTAATGGGTCACCCGTGAGTTGGCTTATAGCAGTAGAATTATTGAATTACAGCATTACGGCATTACGGCATAGTACCGTATCTAATTGCCATAAACATTATATGCTGTAATGCTGTAACGTATTACGGCTCAATTAATTCTACCACCAACTATACCTGCGGGTGACCCGGGTAGCACACATCCGTGTCCATCACTATCACGGATCCCAAAACGTCCCGCACTGGATGCTACTAGGGTAGAGTCGCCACTAAGGATGGCTCCGAAAGTATTTTGGCGTGCTGAAAGTCTTACCGAAAGTCGAAAGTCTTACCGAAAGTCGAAAGTCCTACCGAAAGTCGAAAGTCCTACCGAAAGTCAAAAGTTTTACCGAAAGTCGAAAGTCCTACCGAAAGTCGAAAGTCCTACCGAAAGTCAAAAGTTTTACCGAAAGTCGAAAGTCTTACCGAAAATCGAAACCCTTACCGAAAATCGAAAGTCTTACCGAAAGTCAAGGCCAATCATATCTTGACATGGATAATTTTTTGAAATCAAAAAAGTGTCTGTGTCAAGATATGATTGGCCTTGACTTTCGGTATGGGTTTCGACTCTCGGTAAGACTTTCGATTTTCGGTAGGACTTTCAACTTTCAGTAAGACTTTCGACTTTCGGTAAGACTTTCAACTTTTGGTAAAACTTTCGACTTTCGGTAAGACTTTCGACTTTGGTAGGATTTTCGACTTTCGAACATTTCGGTAAACCAAACCCTGTTCGAAAGTATTTTCAGTAGACTTTCGATTTTGGTAGGTACCGAAAGTACCTACTTTCGGAGCCATCCTTAGTCGGCACCAATAAAAGTTTCAAGTAAAATTTCATTTTTTTTTTAGGTAGGGTTAGCTATTAGATTGGCACCTAAAACATTTCTTATAGCAAAATATTACAAGGAAAGACTTTTAATTAATGCGGAAAAGGCAGTTTCATATACTAAAAACGTGTTATAAGTGATTTTTGACATAACGAACGTTTGTTTTGAATTTTCCTGATTATGCTGCGGTACATCTGATCGTGAGATTTGATTGGTAATGAAACTTTAGTGTGTTGATTTTGCCCCAGTTGCGGGATGCGCGCGTGATTCACGGGATAGATAATCGATCAACTGGGTTATACCGTAGATATTTTGGATGTCGAAAACATTTCGAATACTGAAAACATTTTCATATACTGAAACATTTTGGCATTTGAAAATATTTTCAATGCCAAGAATATTTTCTAATGTCAAAAATATAATTAGATATTGAGAATATTTTTTGGTGTCAAATATTTTAAAGTACTCTTGAGAAGTTTTATCCAGCTACCAGGCCTTAAACAATTTATTAATGTTAAGTTAAATATATGAGTATTTAATTTATACTTTCCATCATTTGATTTCATATTGCAATTTAGTCTGTGCAATTAATGTTTATGATCCATATCAAAGGATTAGTTTTTTTTTTTTTTAATGTTAAAGTCCCTGCCTTTGGAGATTGATTTTTTTATTTAAGTATTTAGACACAGATGCCTCTAGGGGTTTCCATACATAGGAGGTTACAACTAGTCACATGTGCACTTTTGGTGCCCAATTTAAGTAGTCCACCTATACATTACTATACAGGTTCTACACTAGGTACCATACCTGCAAACTAACTACAGGTCTTGCCTATTTAAACCCTCTGCATATGTAATCTAACTTGTGATCATGGGAACATCTTGGGTTACACCCATCCAAAGTACTTGATGCTTTTGAGATCCTTAGGACTAGTTTATTCTTGACAGGAACTTACTAGAACCTTCTGTGTCTCACATACAACTGATCTAATTTTATGTAACATGTTATAGTTACCTAACATTTGCAGTCACAGGAGTTATTTGTTTAACCATTACATTACATTATTTTTACTCTTGTAAAGTTTACTAAAACTCCAGTACCTATTATCACGATGTCTTTTCTATTATCTCTTACTAACCATTACTTAGGACTGACAGAACTTCTCTGACTTCCAATTCAGATAGCCCAGTATGATATACTTATATATTCTTTTTCTTTGGTGATTTTGGCAGTTTGGTTGGTCATGTACTCCTTTACATATCTTGACATTCAGTTTATCTATTTATCTCTTTGAAGGTATTTTATAAACTTCCATTGATCTGACTGTATCATCAAAAGTTCATGTTATCTCTTTATTCAGAAATTTCTAAGTAGACTTTTGACTTTTCAGTTTCTTAGTTTATTGTACCCAGTGGTCTTATTGTGGGTTTACACTGAAGTCTTTAATAATACCAGTTATTAACATTTCTCTATGTATGTATAATGTTACACTTAGTATAGATGCTCCAAACTCCCATTCAAGATGGTATGACTTAAGATTACAGATACACAAATTCAACTAATTATCAAGAGATAGTTCGCTGTAATACAAGTTAATTTCCAAATTTTATTGTAGGTGGGATTTGAATCTTAGATCTATCACTTGAAGGATGACAACCTGATCACTATACTAGAATCATCATTCTCTTATCAAAGGATTAGTTGTCTGGGTGCAATTAATATTCTATTATATTATTATAATTCTTTATACAAATTTTAGTTATATATATCTTTATATAAATTTTTTTTTTTTTTTGGTATTAAGGTGAAGTCTTGCTCCTATCTTTTATTTGTAATTATTAAATAGTAACTACATAGAGTTACTGGATACAAAAAGAAGTTCTATATATGCTATGACTAAAACCAACACTTGCAGTCAGGGCTAACCATTAAACTGCTAATTATAAAACTATAACTCTAAGTAATATAAATACTACATGCAAGAGTAAGAGCTCAGACATATTTATCTGCAACTTAAACCTACTAGAGTGGCTAAGACTAACCTAGATTAGTTGAAAATTTCTAAATAATGTTTATTACTCTAGTATATACTAGTAAGCTACTTATAGATTTTACTAACTATTTACACTATCAGAAGTTAATTACATTATTATAAAGAAAAAAAACAAAAGTAAGATAAATTAAATAAGAAATAAAGTGTGATTAAAAAAGTAAAAAATAATGTTAATTGAATAAGCAAATAAATAATGAAAGTTAGCAGAATTGCAAAAATATAGCTAAGATAAGTGATATAGATTAGATAGGTAAATAAATAAAGAAGAGTTAACAGAAATGTATAGATATTGCTAGAGAAAAAGGCTATCATCAAGTTCATCAATGATTTTAGATACATTGAAAATGTAGATAAAGTCAGTTTCTGATACTGTAGGTATAATAATGTTAAATTTTTTAATAATGTATTGGTTTGCTTGATTGAAATATGACTTGTTAAGATTTTTTTCTAAGTTGAATAATAGTTGGTTTAGAGGTTTGAGTGATGTCATAATAAACAATAATTCTGGTTAGGATTTGTGAATCACTTGTTTGAGAGGAGATTTTGTTCAATGCTTCTTTGAAATTGAGATTAATAATTTTATTGTTTGTTGCTGCAGATTTAAAGTAAGCTTTAAGATAGCAATAAAAGAAATAAGATATATGTTTAGAATTAGTAGATGATTGTTTAGTTAGATGAAAGTTTGTTCAAATTGGTCAGCAAGTTTATAGAGTTCTTTGAAGGGTAAGGGTGTGTAGAATGTTGTTGAGGTTAAAGCAGAAAGATTTAAAGGTGAATATATATATTTTTAAATAGGTATAGTGTTAAAGAATTGTTTAAAATAATAAGAAGTTAAATTATAGATGTTATGGGTTGTTTTTGAATTAAGAATTTTGCATTTTTTTAAATTGGTACAGGTGTGTATATGGTGTATTGTTGTTTTGATAGCATAGTTTGTTTGGTCTTAAATGGATCAGATAGTTGGTAGTTCAGGTTTTTGAAAGATTAGCTTTTTGTATTCGTTATTAGTTGCTGTTGTTATTTGGAATTTGATATAGTTGTAAACTTTTTGTTCATTGATGTTACTAAATTGTTTTTTGTAATATATAAAGAATTTTTGAAACCAGATGTCAAATTGTGGTTTGATTAAGTGAAAAGATGGAATATGATAGTTTATATTAAATTCTTGGAAAAAAATATTTATAGTAATGTTGATATGAAATTTAGAGGTATTATGGATTTGTAAAATAGGAGTATTGCTTTTCGAAGTGTTTGAAATATGGTTTATATGTATAAAAGTTTTTAGAAGATGGGTTTAAGTTGTAAATCATGAAAAAATTTTTCGTAATCAATAGTTTGATATTTGTTATGTAGGAATAAGTAGAGTCTGACAAGATTTATAGCAATTTGAAATCATTTTTTAATCGAATAAGAAGGAATAAAATAGTGTAAGTTAAAGAATTGTTTGTAATTTGTTTTATAAAAAAGAGTGTAAGTAAATTTGGTGAGCCAGTTTTTTGTTATATTGAGAAGGATTTTGAAAGGTATTTTTGTTATTTCGGTAATATGTGGATTTTTGTTTAAGATTGTATCTATAATAAATTTAGGTTTTTTGATTACTATAGTTTGAATTAATAAGCTAAGATTATTTTTTACAGCTGGTTTGTCAATTGTTATAAAATTAATAATTAAACTGGGATAGAAGTCTTTGAGAATTGGTTTTAAGAAATCTAATGTTTGAATTCCAGATGTCATAACTGTAGATAAAAAAGAGTTTTCTGAGATAGGATAGCTTTTGGACCAGTCTAAAAGATGATTTTGTTGAGTTGTAGTTTGTAAATTCATTTCGGGATTATAAGTGATAATAATAGAAAGATGTTTAAAGTTGTAAATAGCTTAGAATAGAGAAACAAAAAAGATTTTTTAAGTAGTTTGTAATATGGGTAAAGTGTTTTATAATATAGGTAGCAAAAAAGAGCAGGTAAAAAGGATAAGAATTGGGCGAGAAAATTGAGTTTTTCAAAATTAGCAGTGAATTTTCCAAAGAGGCAGTAAATTTTTCAGATTTCTTTGAGGAAATTTGAAGAAATATTGGGTATTTGGATATTTTCAAGTTTGATGAAAAGTGAAATTTCTGGGGCACCTCTGTAAATTTTCCGAAATTGACCAATAAAATTTCAGAGAGGAGTTTAAATAGAAGTTTAAAGAAAAATATTAATAATTTAATGAGTTTTGGTCTGTTAAAAATAAAATTTATGTTGAAATGATCATCTTAATGGGCTGAATATTTTTAATTAATGATAGAGAGTATAGTTGTTTAGTAAAATTCAATGAAAATTGAGAAAATGTATTTTTTAAGAAAATATTAGTTGGTATATAATGTAATAGATAGAATTTGATAAAATTAGTATAATTATGAACAGAAAGTTTAGTGTATTTAATTTACTTGGAAATAAAAGAGTTTAATTAAGTATAAATTAAAGAAATTTAAAAAGAATATAAAGATAATTTTATTAAAATATAAAAATTTGTTATATCAAAAGATTAAGTATGAATAAATTTGTATTGTTTTTAGGACAAAAAGTTGTAAAAAAGAAGTTTAATTAGAAGTTTAAGAGCTGTTAGTTTAGTAAAA